AAATATAAAAATAAGAAAAAGAAAAAAAAAATATATTATTTTATTTAAAATTTTGAAAAAAATCTGATTTTGCGTTTGACATTTGACACCGAACCCCCTCTCCCCCCCCCCAAAAAAAAAAAAGAAAAAAAATTCACGTTTGTTATACATACATACATATATATGTATAAAAAGAAAATAATCAAAGGTTATAAGAATTTTCTCGTTTTTTGACTTTTAAATAATTCACAACAACAACAACAACAGCAACGACAGCAACAACAAAATGGAAAAATAATAATAATAATAATAATACTTTTTTGTGCGTTCGAAAGAGAAAAACGTTTGAAAATAATAATAATAATAATAACAATAATAATAATTTCCATTTGGTGGATGAAGATAAAAAAAAAATTTTGTATTCGTTTTTTCTTTTTATTATTCCGAGGGGCGACTGGGAGGGGGGCGACTATAGGGGGACTAGGTGGGGGTCAAACTCCAGGTCAATAATACAAAATTAAAATGTGTGCGTGTGCGTGTGTGCTATTCATTAAAATCCTTTTTTTTGTTAATAAAAGAAAAATTGGATCGATTTTTTTTTGGAGGGGGGCTGGGGAAGAGAGGGAGGCAGGGGGTCGTCGTTTGTTCATTTTCCAAAAAAAATTTAATTAAAAATTAATGCGATTATCATCATCATTATCATTATTTGTTTCTCACGTAAATCAATTAATTACGTATTAAAAAAAAAAAAAAAATTTAACCGTCATGGATTCGTGAGTGGCGTTCGAGTACGTGTAAATATATTAATCACGTATAAAAAAAATTTAAAACGTTCATCCGTTCACGTATCCGTTCGCACGTGTTTTTCACGCGTAAAAAACAAAAAAAAAATTTTTTTTTTAATTAATTAATTAATTAAAAATTTAAATCCTTTAAAAAACGAAAAACAAACGTTTAAAAAAATAGGAAATGGAAATTGGAAAATGGAGGGGGGGGGGGAACGGAAATGAAATAGAAAAAAGAAAAACTTTTTAACTTGATTTCTTCTAAAAAGTCGAAATAAAAAGGGAAAATCCGATTCATTGATTTCCAATCTTGTCATTTTTTTTAAGGAAATAAAACCGTATAAAATAAAAATAAAACTAAAAAGGATTTAGTTTAACAAAAAAAAAAAAAAAAGCAGAAGAAAAAAAAGCAGAAGACAAAGAAGAAAGTAAATAAATGAGTGGATACATGTGTCATTTTAAACGTAAAACGACAGGAAATGGATAACAACAAATAAATACTTTTCAAAATCAGACGCACACACACAACAGCAGCAACAGCAACAGCAAAAAAAGAAAGAAAAAAATTTTCATTAAAATACCCTCCTCCCCTTCCACTCCCTCCTCCCTCCCCCTTCCTACCCGCCCCCAATAAAAAAAAAAAAAAACTATTTTTTAAAATAAATAAATAAATAAATAAAACCTTATTAATCAATTTTGTTTTTTCCTTTTTCCTACAAACAGGAAAACAATTAATAATAATAATAATTTTATGATTTCCCCGTTTTATTATTGCTATTATTATTATTATTATTATTAATATTTTTATTTAAAAAAAAAATACGTGCGATACGTGAATAAAAAATCAAACTAACTATTCACCGCCATGTTTTATTTATTTATTTATTTATTTTTATTATTTTCTTACTCTATGACTTCCTTTTCTATGAATTTACCCTTCAAACGAACGAACGAAAGAGAAAATTATTTATTTATTTATTATAAATAAAGAATAAAATTATAAAATAAATAATTTTTAAACTCCACCACCACCACTACCACTACCACCACCACCACCACCACCATCACCACCACCATCATCATCATCATCATCATCATCATTATTATTATCATGTTTGTTTTTTTTTCTTATTCTTTTCTTCCGTTTTTATTTTATTTTATTTTAACGAGAGAATATGAAAAAAAAAAAAAAGTTAATCGAAATGAATTTTCAATTTCATCTTTAAACATTTTCTTTTCTGTTTATTGAATTTTTTATTTTTATTATTATTATTATTATCATCGTCATCGTCATCATCATTATTATTATTATCTTTTTTGTCGACGACGACGACGACGACGACGATGAGGATGATTGAAGTAGAAAATGAAAATAAATCGACCGAAATTTTTTTTTTTTTTTATTTTTTTTGTTTCCCTCGACGATGATGACAAACATTTTTCAAACCAATTTTTTTTTTTTTGTCTAATTATTATTATTATTATTATTATTATTAATTTTCCTTTCTTTTCTTTATGATAATAATACTATTT